AGGGGTCCGTGAGTGCACCCTTGGTCTTACGAGCCTGTGTAGACATGTGGGTATCTGTCCTCTCTTTTTAGGCTTTAAAAGAGGAAAAGGTCCTAACCTTCAGAATGTATGTCCCTGCCTCGTATCAAAAGATGATTTTAATTCTCGAAGACTGATTAGTGAAGGACTTATTACCTTATCTTGTGCTTGATATTTTTGAGAGGTGACAGATAAGAGGAGATCTGGAAATGCGTTATCCCTAACTCCAGCGACAGCACCTATCTGCTTCCCTCTTCTCCTCCCATTCCCCACTACCACTTGAGGTATGTTTCAGAGGAGAAGAGAAGGTGCTCAGAAGACCCACTTTTACCCACCCATCTCCTAAGTGTGAAAACAGTCCTTTCACAAGTGTTTCTCTGTGGTGTGTTTGCCTAGCATGCACAAGGCCCTGGGACTGGTCCCTAACACCATTTAAAAAAAACAAAAAGGACCCTCAGTTTCCATTATCTACCCTATATAATTTTGTCATTTTTTCTGAGGGGTCTTTTCAATTTGCTAACCGTGATTTCAGTGCTTCTCCCAGCCCTTGCTTGACTCATTGTTATCTGAGAACCCTAGAGACCTGCAGAAGAACTGAGTATATTAATAGGAATCGCCATTCACAGACAAATACGAACACATAGTTCATAAAAGAAGACATGTAAATTGCCAGTAGTTATTTAAGCTTATTGTCAGGATAAATCCAAGAAATATCAGTTATGAAACACTGGTGTGCTGTGACTTCCACACTGTAAATTTTTTTGTTTTTTTTTGAGACAAGGTCCAGGCTGACTTTGAACTCAGGGTCCTCCTCCCCAGCTTCCTGAGTGCTGGGATGCTGTTAGAGTTGAAAAGATGAGAAAAAACTTAGCAGCTGTATTTCTCAATGAAACATGAATAGTATGCTTAAATATTTGTTGACAAATCACATTTCATAGGAAAGACTAGAGGAATACTCATTTAAAAATGCTTAGGCCGGGTGGGGTGACACATGCCTGTAATCCCAGAACCTGGGAGGCTGAGGCAGGTCTGGATTTCCTAAATTTTCCGCAAGAGACATGTACTGTACTAGTTTTATAAGGAAAAAAAATAGAAGTTCTTTTTTCCAATGAGGTATGAGCTTAGTGTGTCTTTCTGGGCAGAGTTTGCATTTTGAACAGCATGTAGAGTTAACTTTTCTATATTTTTCAAAACATGCTGCTTTGGGGCCAGACATTCTTATCTCCTGCATGTGTCTCCTGCCTAAGTGTCCTCCAGTGCCTCCCCTGCAGTCCTTACCAGTTCAGATCTCTGCTTTCATCTTGCGAATCCATCTCCTGAGTGACTAGTTCCTACTTCCATTTTACCCTACATGCTGGATGGTTGCTTTTAGTGGTAGGGAGAGCCTTGAAGTTCATCCACATTTTATTGATTTAAAAAATGCAATTCAGAGCGAGCAAAGCACTTGCCTGAAGTCACACACATCTAGTGCAGACCCAGGTCTCCTGCCTGTCCCCTTCCATTAGCTGAATGCTGCCTCCTCCCCACATCTCACTTCGTTCTAGGAGTTCTGCTCATTCCGTTCTGATACCAAGCATCTGAGTAGGATATATAGCGCTATATAGTGGTTCAGATTGGCCTTGAATGCACTGTGTAGCTTAGACTGGCCTCAAACTCATGACATTCCTCCTGCCTCAGCCTCCCAAGTGCTGGGATGAAAGCACGCACCACCATGCCCTGCTGAATATCAGAGTCTTAATTTCTATTGTTTTCTGCTGTAAGGTCTTTGCTGAGTTATTTCACCTTCCTGGAGCTTTCTTCGTCCCTAAATAAGAAGGCTAATCTGGGTAAAAACTGAGACTTCTTCCAGCGCCAGCATGTCTGGTACCTGTTCCATTGTGCCTGGGCTGGTGTTTGTGTGGAGACCCAACCTCCTGTACTGATGGGCAAGGCAGATCCTGTGTGGAGAGATCTCTGAAGTCAGATCCGGGCTCCATCTGGACCTTATCTGTGACTAGTGCAGGTTACACATTCTCAGTCACTGATGTCCATCTCCCACTACTGCATTACAATTTCCAAACCCAGGGATTGTTTTTTTGGTGGGGGCAATAATGAAAATATTTGGTGAATGAAAATATTTGACAGTACACTACAAATGAAAGCAACAACTACTGGCATTATTCTGTCCTGTCCTTCTCTGTTGTATGGTCTAGTGTTTGAGTACTTCCACACGGCGATGACCATATAAATTATCTGTGTGAATAGCCTATTATTTTTAGGTTTGGTCAGAAAATAAACTCCCCTAAATTTGGGGGTTTCCCCCAGGTACAAGCTGTGCTGCTGAGCTATATCTCCGGCCCCACACACACTTCTTTACCCTCCCATATGCTTTGCTAATGGCTAGTAAAATAGACTCTTGTTGAAGTACCTGACTTTTTCCACCTGATCTCCTGTTCCCCCCTCTCCACTCAAGCCAAAAGGAGCAGGTGCCGCAGGGAGCACGAGAGGAAGCCGAGACTGAGGCCCAAGGGTTAATAAAGCTCCTGCTCTGCTTTCAGTCACATTGTGAGGGCTGCAAGAGAAGGAAGGGAGAAAGCTAGCCGGTCAGATGTAGGAGGAGGAGGAGAGGCCTGAGGGACGATCCCAGAGAGAGGGGAAGTATCTCCAGTTTACAGGTGAAGAGACAGTGGGTTGCACCAGGGTCACCACCTATCCCAGGCTGAAGTTCAGATTCTGACAGAATGCCTGCCTGGTTGTACCAAGTCAGTTTACCTCTTTATTTACCTTTATATCCTTTGCTTCACAGGCTTGCAAATTTATGAGTAAGTGAAAAAAGCAAATTTTTGTTTTGTTTTGTTTTTTTACTACTAGGGATTGAACACGGGGCCGGATGTATGTTAGACAAGCATTCTAGAACTGATGTACATCCCCAGCTTTTCTGAAAGCTTTTATTTTGAGACAGGGTCTTGCTAACTTGCCCAGGCTGGCCTTGAACTTTTGATTCTCTTGCCTTCTGCATAGCTGGGACAAGCAAGTGCCCCAACCAGGCTTTACGTTTCTTTTCAGTGAAAGATTTAGAGTGATGAATAAGATAAAAACTACTGTTCAGAATAATGAAAAGGTAGAGTTTCAGGAAAACCATCTTATTTTTGCCAGTACGCTGAAACTTGTCAGAAGGTATTACTAATATCTTTTCTTAAAATGTGTAATATGAGATTAATGCTGATGCAGTATTCTTCTTAACTTGATTGGTGCCCTGTTGTATTTTCTCTGCTTTTGAGAAGCTTCATTTTTTTTCTTCCTTTTAATCAATAGAGGTCAGGTAAAAATGAGAAATATAATACATTGTTATGTAATTTAAAGATACCTATATTCCATATACTCCAAAGATGGAAATTGTCTTCACATAAATAAAAATCTTCTTTTTTGTGCGGTGTGTTGATTATCAAAGTAAATTATCTTATCAAGGCTCTAAAATCTATTCTTTTGTTTGACCTGTGTAGTTATATGCCACCTAAATTATAGATCACCCAAAATTTGATTCCTACCTTTCAATGAATATGAATTCATTTATTGTTTATCTCATTTGCTAAAGGCCTAAACAAAATTCATTAAAATGTTGTATGTACATACTTAAACTTTTTTTTTTTATATCAGGAATCGAACTCAGGACCTCGAGCTTGCCAGGCAGGTGCTGTGCCACTGAGCCATATCTTTGGCCCTACATAGTTAAACTTTGTCACTTTTCTCAAACAAGCATTTCAATTTTAGTTTAACTGAGAAAATCATAAAACTTATGTGACCTCAGTCACAGGATATGAGTTCTAAATTCCCTTGTTCCAGTCAGATTCTGTGATTCATTATTTTGTTTCAACTTAATGATCTGCCTTTGTTAGGGTAAAGGTGAATTGTGGGTTATTGATGATCAGGGCTAAAGGAATAATTTGGAAGAAATCTTCATATAACATTATTACAGATTAACTTACTCTAGTGTGACAAATCTGATGGTTTCTGATGTCTTTTTATTCCCTGGCAAAAGACATCAACAGTCCTCTTTCTGCAGGTTTATATGTATTTTGTGAGATTTAACCTCAGAATAATTGAGAATATGAGCATATCACAGGTACACAGTTGTCATCTGAAAAATTACTGTTGAAGTTAACTCAGATGAGGCTGAATTGATTGTCTTGGTGAATTATAAACTGTTTATAAATGCAAGTTTAAAAAAGATTGCCCAGGAAAAACGGTGCATACCCCAAGCCCTTTTTGCAAATATTTATGGCAGTATTATTTTCCATAGCTGAAAACTGGGAACAACCAAATGTCTATCAACTGGTGAGTGAATCACCAAAATGTAGTACATTCATACAGTGGAACACTACTCAGCAGTAAACCAGAACAAACTACTCAGACGTGCCTCAACCTGATTTACTCTCAAAAGCATCATACTACATACATGAAGGAAATTAGACAGAAAAGACTGCATACTGTGTGGTTCCATTTGAAAGTAGAATTCTGGAAAAGGCAAACCTCAGGAACAGGAAGCAGATCCATTGCTGCCAGGGCCTAGGGTGAGAAGAAAAAATTAATTATAAAAGAGCACAGGGTATTTTTTCTTGAGAATGTTGGAAATGTGCTATATGATTATTTCAGTGGTGATCATATGAACGAGTGCGTTTGTCAAACTATATCAAAATATATACTGAAAATTGGTGGCAATTATTATATATATATGTATATATTACACCTAAAGTAAAAACAAGCAAATAAACAGGGCAGCATCTTGAATGTTTTACAAAATGACCACTTCACTTAGGGAAATAGCCTTTTTAAACTTGGAATTTGGAAAGCCTATTGTTAAAATATATTAACAGCATTTATTTTATAGCTTCGCTGTATAAAATATTGGCTCTCAAAATGTGCTTTGCCTTGAAAATAGTGAATGATCCACTTGGCTTTAATATCTCATTACACTTCCGCTTTCTCTTCTCTGCCTGACCTAGAAAAACTAATTGAGGGACTCAAATCTCCTGATACTTCTCTTCTGCTCCCTGACCTCTTGCCTATGACAGATCCTTTTGGTAGCACTTCCGATGCTGTGATTGGTAATGTCATTTTTGTTTCTTCTGTCATGCATGATAAGTGTGTATATTTCAGACTGATAAGCACCTGGGTAGCAGATCCGTAGTGAACAGAACTGGGAAGGAATGGAAGTACTGAGCCTCCTGATGTTGGAGCTATGCCTCACACAAGCCCAGAAGCCAACACTGTTTAACTTCCTAATGAAATGTTTTTCTTTGCCTTCTATGGGCACAACCGTGTAATTTTTGTATTTTGGGCTGTCCTGTGATTTCAAATGAGGTAGAAAAATTCACATTTAGTGATAAACGCATCATTTAAAAAGTTGATTCATAGGTAGGCATGGTGGCGCACACCTGTAATCCCACAACTCTGGGCATGTGAGGCAGCAGGGTTGCAAGTGTGAGCCCAGCCTGGGCAACTTAGCAGCTTTACATTTTCCCGTGCTCCAACAACAAGGCAAGCAAACCTTACAAAGCATGCAAGGCCTCTGTACTCTAGGAGTGTCCATTGATTTTGGACAAAAAGTCCTCCAACTCAGAAATGTCAGGACCCTCCACAGAGGCCACCAACTGAAAGATGTCACATGGTACAGGATCCCTCCCAGCTGCATCATAAGCTGGAGTTTGGATGGAGCAGCGGCTTTTGCATTAGATTGGAGGTTGGGTTAGAAGATCTTCACCCCAGATTTATTGCTTAAGAAAAGCAAATTTACCAGAAGAAATTAAGGTGCCTTTCACCCAATCTCTTCTGACGTGGAGATTTGCTGTTTGAAGGTGGCTTGCGTGCCACGTGTATCTGTGAGAACTGATCACGGAGTTGGCCACGGTGGTTACCTTGCACGTGCACACCCGAGCAGTGAAACCCAGACACTCAAAGCAGAAGAAATAAAAGTCACTTAACTGTGCTTTCTACCTGTCCTGTGGCTGGCATTTTAGAAACTTATAGAGGAAAGCCTTCACAGAATTTCTGAAGAACCTTCTGATGTCCTCTCCCTTACCCTTTCCTCTCCTTTCTTAATGCCTGTTGTAAAAGAAAAAGCTGATGTTGCTGTTGAGAGTCTCATACCAGGACTGGAGCCCCCAGTCGCCCAGCGCCTCCCATCTCAGACGGAGTCTGTGACCTCGAACCGCACAGGTCAGTCAGGTGTCTGTGTCACTAAAGGGACTGGTCACTGTGATCAGAGCCAGTCTTTTCACCTGTGGCAGGTGATATTCTGCAGTCTACTTAGTTCCTCCTGGAGTGGATGCTCTGAATTCTTACAGCCCCAGTTTTTAGGTGCTGAGTGTACATTTCCTTTAAATACTTCATGGAGCCATGTTCTTTTTAGAGGGAGCCTGGCCCTGCCCTGCTTGGGGAATTTCTTTATTCGGGATTCTCACTGGCAGTAGGTTCTCACCACTAATGAAAGGACTGTGCTGAGCGGTAAGGCTGCTTTGACTCCTCCAGGTCCCTGAGCCAGCTCTCTTGCCCAGCAGCTTCAGTGCTACCTGGGGAGCTCATCTCCCCTATGTTGACATTCTTTTCCCAACACAGTACTTCAATCATTTAGAGGTGATTTGCCCTTAAATTGTAGGCAAAGTCGAAATCTTCCTTTGGTCCAGTGTTGCCTTCACCTTAATTTCAAAATTCAATCTTAGAATTCCTTAAGTGTCCATAGAAATCAATTTGATAACCTTTATTTTTATTGAGTCCATAATTACTGTAATTACAGTGTCTGCTTATTTGACTTCGAATAGAAATAGAAGCCCAAGAAATGTGAGTGTAAATTCATCAAAGTGAGAGAATTTTCCCTAAAAGGCAGTCTGATTCCTTCTCATCCTCACTTGCATGTTTTCGCCTAGAAAATCTAGAAAACAATCCGTATCTAACACTTGACCTCTAAATACTGCCTTCCTTCTCTAACTGAAAAGTGCAAAGGAGAGATTCAAATTTAATAAGTCCTAGAAGAGGCATATTTAATGGAAACCTGGTGGATACTGTTTAATCTCCTCAGAGTCTACTAATAACAACCTTCCTAATCAGTTTCAGTACCTTATCATGTAGTAACTTTCTTCCTGAGTGTTTTGGGAAAGTTTAAGTGAAACTCTCTAATTGTAAAGTCCTTTTTCTCAAATGGCTTTTGCTAAGAATTAAGTTCTTAAAGTTTTACTGCCATACAAACCCCAGACTTGTTTAAGAATTAACCTCTGACTTTAAAATTCTCTATATTTATATGTTACTGTTAAGAGAAATCTAGAAAAATGTCAATGGAAACCCAGAGAGCTTAACTTATTTCTTCTGGTTTTTTTCCTCCTGCCTTGGCTTTTATATATAACCTGTGTATCAGTAATTTGAAAGCTAAGATCTAATCTCATGATATTGTTGTATGTGCCATTTAATTCCATCACTGACCTGGGATGCTGTTAATTGGACTCAGATTCTCTCACTGGGGAAGATTCCCTGCTTGACTGCTCTCTGCTTTCTAACCCTACTGCTGACCTTCTGGAAGAGTTTGCCCCCTTAGCAATCTCTGCTCCGGCCCATAAAGGTAAATTTTGCTTCTTGTCAGGCCTGTATATGTCCCTGAGAACAGCTGAACAGCTCCTGAGCGTTTCCCTTACCTGAAGTCTTTTTCAGTACAGTGTTTTAACTGCCTGCTTTTATGGAAACTTTGGAGTTTGTACTTTTAGCCACTGTGTTATAATACCCCTCAGAACATTCAATAAACCTTGGACAACAAATTGGTGAAGGTACTCCTTTTTGGCAAGAATTGTGGTACAGCTATTCCACGTTACCTTTGAGAGCCGTGTACCTTCACAGTTAGCCAAGTAGATGGTTGTCCATTAAAATAAATATTAGTAAGTCTGTGCTCTGAACTGGTGAGTTTTAAATTTTACTTCATCTTTAAATCATGATTGGTGTCTGGGTTTCTCTTTCTTACCTACCATTTCACTTCTTAGTCTTAGATTAATGTTGGATTGAAATTCTGTTGGACAAGCTGGGTGTGGGGGCACATGCCTGTAATCCCATCACTTGGGAGGCTGAGGCAGCAGGATCATTGCGAGTTTGAGGCCAGCCTTGGCTATAAAGTGAGCTCAAGGCCAGCCTGAACTGCATAGTGAGACCCTGTCTCCAAAAAAAAAGAAATTCTGTTGGCAAAGATAGCTTGAATTGAGTTATATCAGTAAAAATTTTGTGGCAGCGATAGGCACAGTGCCTGACCTACTGTGCGCATAGGCATTTATTAAACTTATTTCTGTGCTTGGGTAGTCAAAATCCTTTTCTAGAAGGAGAAAATATATAGAAAAGAAAAAGCTGAAGCCTTTTTTGAAGGCAATTCAAGAAGGAGACTTCCCAGAGATGACTAAGAGTAATTAAGACATGATTTGTAGTGGTACTAGCTGAGTTTTTGTTTTTTACCTTGACAGCATTAAAATGACTTTTTAATAGAGTATTTAAAAGAAGTTATCTAGTTATACAATTATATCTGGCAGTAGTGTGTCAACAGCAGTATGTAATTACAGAGAATCCTCACTTGCAAGCTAGGTGCTTAGTTAGCACTTGCTGGTAGGATGGCTTTAATTAGAATGGAGAAAATATTCCAATCGTCTTCTGCTGGAGGGCCCAGGGTATATGGTCTTATGTCCCAACTTTCCCTGAGGCCTCTTGAGTTATTTGGAAATCTTTTTTCCCAGTTACAGAATAACGAGTCTTTTCCATAAACATCTTGCTTTCCTGGTGTACAGTGGTTACTTCTCTTTTGTTATTGTTAGTTTTGGGGTTTTTTGCTTTTTTTTGTTGTGGCTGTTTTCGCTGGGAATTGAACCCAGGGGGGTTGGGGGAAAGAACCCAGGGACTCATGCATGCCAAGCACATGCTTCGCTGAGCTACAGCCCCTGCCCTTACAGTGGCACTTCTTAAAGAATCACTAGTTCTCCTCCTTTCTGTCACCCCTGGGTTTGAGTGGGCTTCTGTTCCCTCAATAAAAAAGACAAATAACTAATTCTTTGTCAATTAATGACGTGGAAGAGATAATTGCAGTTAATGGTCATGTAAGAGTAGAGAGAATTTTTTCAATAATCCTTCCTAATTATTTATGGAAGCGTTAAAATGCCTTAACTCTAAGGCATTTTTTCTGTATCTCTATATTGTTCAGTTTTGCTACTTTTGTTTCAACTCAGGAAAATAAGTACTTTCACTTTTAAGAAGACTAGTGCTTATGTATAATTGGGAACTTTGTACTTCTTTCCTGTTTTCTCATTTGCTAATCTCTGCCTCTGTTTCTGCCTGTATGCGTGCATTCTGTATTAAGCTGCAGAAGATAGTAATCTCATCTCAGGTTTCGATGTCCCTGAGGGCTCGGAAAAGGTGACAGAAGATGAATTTGACCCTATTCCTGTATTGATAACCAAAAATCCACCAGGTAAGAAAGAAGTTGGGGAGAAGAGAAGAGCTTGACATCAGCTCTCATGGAAATAGTAATGTACTTGATCTGCAAGGTGGGGTAAGCGGGGGGCGGGGGGCATCAACATTTCGTGAAGAGTGTTGGGGACAGGGTCTGTCCTTGCAGGCTAGACTAGCATAGATAGAGATGGAGATACTGATACAGGTATCTTAAAGCCTGATCCTGGTGTTTATTTAGAGAGAAATATTTAATAGTTTGGCTACAAGATCATTTTTACAAAATATCAAGCCAAAAATAAAGTGATCTTCAGTCTGTGAAAACCCAAGAATATATATCAAAAGTATTTAACATTTTTTTCATGATTAGAATAATCTGTGATAAATATTTTTCCCAAAGAGATTAAGTGGCGCCTTGTATCAGCCACATCTTTTAGACATTTATGGAACATCCTTTTCCCTCTCTGATGGGTTAAAATCACTTGAACATAAAACAACGAATTTCCACAGAACCATTTATTAAAAGCGTGTTCTTACTGCAGAGCCTTACTAATTTCTCCCCAAAGCAAAAACTTACTTTCCTGGGGAGATGGCTTGATGTTAACAAGAAGCTAGTGCTTCTCAGTAGTTCTCAGGCAAAATACGTGTTGGTTTGAAAACAGCATCATCAAAAAAGAAAAAGAAAAAAGTCACCTTTGCAAGATACCCTGCCGATACTGCGGTGTGAACTTTCCTGGTGGGAGGTGGTGTGTAGCTCATTTACACATTTAAAAATTAACATGGGCAAGTTTGCAAGTGTAAATGATGCTCCTCTAGGTTTCATTTTTTTCTTCTTCTTTTTCTCCTTTGCTTGCACTGCACATCTAACCCTGAACGCTCTGTGTTTTGTACTGAATTCCTATCTCTCCACTTCCAGGTGGGCACTCTAGAAACAGCAGTGGGAGCTCTGAGTCCAGTCTTCCCAACCTAGCCAGGTCTTTGCTGCTGGTGGATCAGCTCATAGACCTGTAGCGGTGACCCAGTAGCAGAAGCAGTTCTGTAACCTTCATACCGTAATACACATTTTCATTACGGAATTCTGAGAAAAATGATTTTTTTTTTTAAAAAAAAATCTGCAAATAAGGGGCCCTCTAGCCCTTTTGTCCTACCCCTTGCCTTCTCCTATAGAAATGATAAGGAAAGAAAAAAATCACCTTGGCCCTCCAGATATATTCGTTGGCCGGTTCCTCCTGTTAGTTTGCTGTGTTTTCTCATTACCTTTCTTCAATAGCATTATCTTGAGTCAAGCACTAGATGCCATGAGCTTCACCTCTGCTGGAATCGACTCCACCAAAAGCTTAACTGTAATTGAACCTAGTGAGCCAACACCTTTGTCTCATTCTTGCTAGGAATGGCCTTCCAAATCAATCCTCCCAGCCCTGTCTCCTTGGCCAGATGCTGATGAATGTGTTTCCCTGTTTTTGCGTTTTATCCGGGTGCATTAACCTGAGGACAAGCCTACTTATGCTTGTTTGAACTCCAGGCAGTAGCCTGGAAATAGGTGTGGGGTTTCAGAGAGGGTAAAACTGACTGATAATATATATTTGAGAAGAGAAATTGAGCCCAGCTGTAGCCAACCAACTTTGACCTTGTTTGATCATAGACTTAGCCAAGGGATTTACACCCCATGCAACCTGCCCAGCATTCGTCCAGCTTTCTGGCCTCCATTGAATCGTGATTTCTCAGATCTGGAGACGTGACTGCAAGTACTTGAGATCCTTGGGTAAAATGTGTATGTTATATCAATCCCAAGTATTGCCATTCCTTTTCATGTTACCTGGCCCAAGCCAGGCTCTCAGAATTAGACCAAAATAAGACAGTGGTGGTAATATGGTACCTTTTAATAGAAGACTTTTCACTGGGGGGTGGCTGGGGGAGGGGAAGGAATTGTAGCAGAAACAGATGTATTTTTCTTGTGATTTTTATTTTAAATCAAATATTGTAAATTGTGTATAAATGAAGACACTGAATAGTTCTGTTTCCACTTGGCGTTTCAAGTCTGATACCAGGTGTCTGTACAGGGTTTTGATCTCTTTCCCTTGTATAACCACACAGCTATCCTACAGTGTAACATATGGAATTATTTTGAGTAGATTGTGTGTCTTGATATAAACTATCAGCAGGTCCTCAGTCTCTAGAATAAGCATGTTGTTTATTTTCAGATAATCAGAAAAAGTGTGCTGACAAGCCAGACACAGATTGACTGTGGCTGTTTACTTTTCTGTCTCTGATGTTTAATTTGAAGGCTGCAGGCAATAGAATGTGTTCACTTGGTTTTCCTTGGCTTCCTAGATTTTAAAAAGCCAAACAAAGCATAGTTCTTCACTAACCTTAGACTATTGTTCATAAAGTAAATAAAAGACCCTGCACTGACATGACTACATGCCTCATGGTCACCCTCTGTGTATGTACTTGCTCATCAAAGTGTATTTTATTTCTTTACTTGGAAAGCACTTTTATAAGATCATCCCTTTGAGAAAGAAGTGGGCACAGAGAATCCCAGTGTTCTCTCCCCTGCGTGCCGTTGTCTGTGATCAAGAGGGAAAGTCTTAGTGGATCGGGTTTGTACAAATAAAATTCCAAGTCCATCTGCTTGTTTTCTACGTAGTACTTCTGTTTTTTCTTCTTCTTCAAGTTTGCACTTTAAGGGGTTGGGGGAGAAAGTTTGACGGCAAAAAGAGCCCGCAAGCCCTGCAGTGAGGGCAGCCTGTGTGCGGCACTGGAGGTAAAGTCTGAACCTTTCAGTCTTCCTTCTGACCTCTGGTACTTCCTGTGCCAGCTAAAACTTGATGAGCTAAGGAAAGGCCTTGCTAAGAGAACACATGGTTCCCAAAGTCGCGAGAGGCACAGCCTTCCTGCTGGGAGAAGAGATGTCTGTGAAAAGCTCTGTGTGATTGGGTAGCGGTGGAAACAGGATTTGGTTCACTCACAGGAAAATTGCTGCAGATCAGGACTGTATTCTCCTGCCTGCACCCAGAATGTATAAACGGATGAAGGAAATGTTTATTTTTAAATAAGGATGTTGTAGTTCAATATTTTCATATTTGATTTTTCTTCACACATAAAATGTTAGAAATATAATAAAATATCTAGTTTCTTAATTTAATTGAAACCATGAAGAGTACAATTTAGAAATTAGGTGTCTCTAAATTGTTCCTTTCATGTATTATCCATAATTAGATTGAGATGTATTATCTAGTCATTTAGCTCAATAAAGCTTAATGGAGACAGTTAATGAAAATGAACCGGAGCCAGAGACAATGGTAGAAGCCTGAGGAAGATAATGACAAGAAAATGTGTCAGGCTTATTCTTTAGGAGTACAGCCTCCAGGGTAGAACTGTTTTTCTGTTGAGGAATACATGTGAGTGATTTGGTAAACAGGACCTTCATTAGTTTATAGCCATCATCTCTGGGCTAAAAGAGTTTATTTGAGGGCTCGGGATTTAGCTCAGCGGCAAAGCGCCTGCCTGGCAAGCGCAAGGTCGTGAGTTCAGTTCCTAGTACCGGAGAAAAACCAAAAAAAAAAAAAAAAAAAGTTTATTTGAGATGAGCATAGTGTGTTAGTAAGTGGTAGGCCTATGGACTGAGCTGCAGGAGGGACCCGGGAGACGAGCTGCTAGGCCAGTCACTTCATTCTACAGGTGCAGCACCTGAGCTGGATTAAGGCAGGGAGAGGAGAGAAGAAGCCTGGGCACCTGGGGTCTAATCCTGACCCTTGCCGGGCGCCTCACCTCTGAGAGCGGCTGTTACTTACTTATACAATAGGTCTGGACTAGATGGCCTTTAAAATTATAGAAGCATAGTCCTGAATTTATATCACTATGTTTAGAGGAACGATGAAGGATTTACATAATTCTGATGTTCTTCAGGTGTCTTCTATACTCCGACTATTACTGTAGCAGCATTTATGTGTCAGCAAATTATAAAGGGCTTCTTACTAACCTGGTTGGTCTTTCTTAGTTACCTGAATAGAAGGCTAAATCATCATAGAGCTTTGGATTATAGATTTTCTTTTTTCTCCTCCTTTTTTAATATACATGCATGCACAGACACACATACCTATCTACTTATTCCAATAAAACAATATCAGAAGATTGCTGTTCTTTTAAAATGTATGATAAAAAAGTATAATCAGGGATCTGCCATTAAAATATGAGCAAATATCATATGCATGTCTTTTTTATTTGCTTTTATCCCAACTGTGTGAGAGTAATAACTGTACCAGAAAACATCACAAATTTTTCTCCTTTACAGCATTTGAATAATGAGATCACCAAATTCAGTTCCCAATTATTATTATTATTTTTTGGAGACAGGGTTTCACTATGCAGTTCAAGCGGGCCTTGAACTCACTTTGTAGCCCAGGCTGACCTCGAACTCACAGTGATGCTTCTGCCTCTGTCTCCCAAGTGCTGGGATTACAGGCATGTGCCACCTGCCTGGTACAATTCCAAGTGTTTTTTAGAATACAGTCCTCAGAGAAGATAAAGTTTAAATGTGCACTTCATTATAATTATTTCTTTAGCAAACATCAAAATTTTGACATCGAGTTGAATGTTGTTCCATTCAAAAGCACCTGGTTTTACTTTGAAAGTTAATGCTTATCCTGATAATACTGCTATCACTGAAGTTATTTTTGAAACTCCTCTGTGTAGAAATAACATCAAGGAAGGTAGCAAGTTATAAGAAAATCAGTTGCATTATGTAATGTTTTTCTTGCTCCATTTATTTCACTACTCCTGATTCTGAGTAACATTTAGCTGTTTCCAAAAAGCAGAATCACCCCAGTAAGATAGAATGTGGTTACTACTGACAGTGGTAAAAAAAGAAGAACCCACAGAAAATTCTCAGAGAGGACTTTATAATAAAAAGTGAGCATGATTGGTCTTCATTTCTTTAATATTCTGAATAAGGGAACTTCAGGGATTTCCCAGTCTTTAGTGTACATTAGAAAATTGAAAGATAGGGTTTTTATTTTTAAG